AAAAAAAAAAAAAAAAAAAAACCCTAGCTATGAAGGCCCCTACATTACAAAGCCCAGGTCCGGCGAGGGCGATCCGGGCTACCGCTTCACAGCTCAGGGCCTTGCTGAAGCCGGACTTTGTCTAGCCGGCAAGGTGCCCTTTGGGGTATCGGGTTTATAGGGTTTAGGGCGACCCTAACATAGTACCCTAAATAGTAGGATCCTTATTATAAGGACCCCCAAATAAGGTTTGAGCACATCCTTGTTATTCTTATAACTTATTGCCATATAGTTGTTAGTGCTTTAGAATGTTCCGATGTATGTTTTTGGAATTAAACGGCCTGCCGATACGGGGTTTGTGGGCGAGGCAGAGCTTGTGGCCTTGCTCAGAAGAAGAAAGCACGCCCCAAATGATTTCGGCATCTGACGACATATAAGAGTCTATACCAGGACCCCCCAAGGGCCCTTTAATGGAGCCCTTATGGCTCGTAATAGTGGGTATTTAGGGTCTATTGGAGGGTAGTTGGGGGGTCTAGGTAGGGTATAGGGTTTAGAATTTACGTACAAGGTCCAGGGTGTAGGTGTAAACACAGCGGTAAGTTTATTATGGAGTGGATAGATCCTGTGGCTTCCAGCTTTCGCACCCCGTCCAGGGCCGCTGAAAGCTTGTAATGCTGTATGTCAACTACCGAAGATAGAAGTTGATGGCTCATGGAATGAGATGATGGTGACGACGCTGATGATGCTGATGAGGGTGAGCACCATAACTATCAAAGCGATGACGATGTTGATGCCGACCATCTAGACTAACAGGCTCGAACCCCGGACACTAAATCGACACCCGGTACCCTAAGGGACACCCCACACACCATGCCTTACTTAAGCCCTAAACACCAAAACTTGCCGGAGGTGCCAGGGTGTACGCGCTCAGCCGGCGGCATCTTCCCCCCGATGGGAGTGTCCCGGTGAAGGTTGAGAGCGTTTGGGGTTTAGGGTCTGGGGTTTGACGTTTAGCGGTCTTCCCTGACGGGCAGTTGGCAACAATACTGTGTATTTTGAGGTTCTTTCGCGTGTTTTTTTCGGGGGGGTCGGCGGTGGGGTGGGGAGGGGAATGGTTACGGGCGCTGAGGGGACCACGTAGTGTAGAACGCAGTGGATCACCCAGCATTTGAAAGCCTCTGTATACAGCTGCTAGATGTAATAGCCCTCCGTAAGCTTGCTATATGGGTTCGGTTTCAACGTTCCCGCAAAGGGTTTGGTAAAGACATCATTTTGCTCGCGGCTTGCTTGCGGTAGTCCAATTTGTCTAGCAAAGAGGCGTCATTGGACCGATAGGGGCACGAAGCTCTGAAACTCGTCGCGATGCCGAAGGACGACAAGCATTTGGAATGTTGGATGTTGCACGTGTTTGTTGGATGGTAGTGGTGGCAGGAGCAGTGAGAATGAGTGTGGTAAGGTTTGTATCTTGGGTCTGCACTGCACAAGGCATACAACGAGGGAGGGAGGGCGGAAGGGAGGGTGAGAGAGTGAGAGACTAACATCAGCTGGCAGCTCACAGTGCCCAGGCCTTCCAACCTGCGGTGATGAAGTCGCGATTGGAGTCGGTAGGCCTCCTGAAAGTGGAGCATGTGAAGGAGGATATGGCCATCATCCTCTAAATTAGATGGCCAATTTTCGCTGGCGCCGGTGGCCGCTGCCAAAGCAGGACCGCTTGGAGTTTCGGAGGGCGCGGTCAGTTCGCAGCCCTCCAGCCGAGAGGTCTCACTACCTTGCGGAAGCCGTGTGCTGTCAGAAAACATATATTCGCAGGCAAAGCCCTGACCCTTTACAAATAGGTACATAAATAAATGGGTCTATATCATGCATGCGAATATCTAACGGTAAATATATCTACATGCCATCAACACACACACACACATATATATATATATATGTACATGTATAATGTATATATATATATATATGTACATGTAGACACACACACACATATATATATATATAGATATAGATATGCACGCGTACGGTTCTCATCATGAAGGTTACGATGACCAGTATATTTGCGAAGGCTTTCGGTTTACCCACGGTGCGTATTCTAATTCTTACGGCTCCTGCAGTAGAGAAGCTGTTCTGGTCAGGAAATTGTTTGAAGACGTAGGGTTCTTCAAAGGGGTTTTGGGGTTGAGGGTTTTGGGTTTAGGTTTAAGGTTTAAGGATTTGGGACTGGGGTTGATTATGAAAGCGCTTTGGGTTTAGGCGGGGAGCCTTCTCAGTTCCCACAGAGCCCATGCAGCCTGGAACAACCCACTGCTGAAACGCCGACATGATCACCAAATATGCATGTGTTTGCTTATGGATTTAAGGTTTAGCGTCAAATCTGCAATTGTTTGCTTATCCCGCTTTGTACCGCAGAAAATCAGCAGCAGCACGACCACGACCACGACCAACCACCACGGCTACTACGCAATGACGGCGACAACTTGATGCAGAACCTTGCCAAACCAAGCCCCCTAAGCCTCACTCGGCTTCTATCCCTAATTACGTAGTGAGGTGTAGGGAATCGCGGCAGGTAACATCTTCATTGCCAGGGCCCCAGCGATGGCCATGGAGTCAACGGCTGAAGATTGGATAAACGCCACACCGTAACCCCTAAAGCCGCAACTGGAAGGCTACAATATGAGCTTAAGCCGAGGTCTTCCTAACTATGGAACACTTGAATGATGAGTGATACTGTCCCTTAGAGTCTGACTTTTAGCCTTCGGGGCAAGAAAGCCTCCTCAATCGTTCAGTTGGGTTAGGCGTAGGGCTTTTGGCGGTTTTGCGGTTTAAGGGTTTGCGGATTGAAGGTGTAAGGTTTTGGAGGCTAGTGATGCCAAAAAGTTGCTTCGCTGTTTGAGCATTCAGTAATTAAGAGATTCCAGCCTAAAACCCTCTGATACTTGGAAGCTACTTGTACGTTGGGCGTGGTGTAGGAGTGATTGCCCTTAGGATGAGTCGTCGTGTGCTGTAGTTGAGACAGAGACCTCGTCTGGCGGAGTCCGAGTTGCGAGAGCGTAACCTGAATCCTTGGGGCTTCGGGGCTCTAAGTGCGGCATTTCGGCGCGAGCACAGTGCAGCCGCCTAAATACGGTGTAGCGGGCTTAGGGTTAAGGGCTTAGGGTTTAGGGCTGTTCCGGGCGAGAGAAGCCTGCTGCAAAAGGCTGGGTTAGGCGAGAGATTTGCTCTTGCGGAAGCGAATGTACGCTTCAAGTCAACACTCCATTGTAGCCCCCAAACCACGAACGTATACTTAGCTTCAGGGTATGAAAACAGTAGCTTATTGACTGCACGGTCAACCCTAAGTGCAGAGTCCAATACTCGAACGCTTCAAGTTCTAACCTCAGTGGTACCTTGCACCTCAGGAACGTTTAAGCCAGAGCTCCCGACACCCTGACTACCACGGACAGACTCGACTCATCAGGGCGCCGGTAACTGGCGGCCACTCGTGGATAGTCTCGAAGACGTCCCAGGAATGTTCTGGGCGGCATCCCTGACGGGGTTGATGCAAGCCTCAGTAGGAGCCTCGATGGGCAGGGTTCCGATGCAAGTCCAGACATCCACAGATCGGCGATGGCAGCAGATGGCATGGTGGCTGAGCTGGAGCTGCCCGATAGTTCTGGGCACTGAACCTTGGGAAGTCTTGCGGTACACCCACTGATTCTACGACTCTACCAGCTTCTACCGTTGAGCTCATGGGCCTGTTCGCAATGGAGCAGTTGCAGTAGACTGCCTGTACCTAACCCCCCAGGTACCTACTATATAGGGTGCTAGAGCCCCTGAGGCCCTATATAGTAGGTACCTGGAGGGTTAGGGTGTCTTGCCCAGACTTGTTGTGCAACCGTGTCTGCACGAGCGAGCGAGTTCGAGAGGCGAGAGGCTTCAGGCCCGAGATCAAACAAAAACCCTCGCAACGTCTTAAAAAAACCCTAAACTGACTAAACCCTTAAAGCCTACAGCCCCGAACCCATAAACCCTAAAGCCTGTCGTCCTAGCCAGGCGGGAGGCAAAAAAAAGCCTGAAGAGAGAAGCTCTTCCAGCCCTAGGGCCCGAAGCCCGAAAGTCCCAGAATTCCAAAGCCCTGGGTCCTCAAAAAACCAACTTGCGCCGTCCACGAGGAGTAGTTCTCTAAATTAGGGCCCCTTTTTAGGTCCCCAATAGAGTACCTAAACCCTAAACCCTAAACCCTAAACCCTTATAAAAAGGATCCCAAAGGGGACCCTAATTTGGAGAACTACCCCCGAGGATGGCGCGGAGCTTCGCGAAGCGCAGCCCGGGCTTCCGCGTCTGCACATATCGGGGGTTCTCTAAACTAGTAAAGTACTGTGGCAACCTGAGGAACCTAAGGGGCTCAGATGTATTACTATTATCCTTATTCTGCATTAGGGTTTAACACCATAACAAGGATGGTCTTTGGTGCCTTAATTCCACCTCTGGGGAAGAAACCCTTCCGTCTTGTGAGGGTACTTGATATGAATCCGACACTACCAGGTTTTCTCAGTCAGGTTCCTGCGTTAGAAGGCTCCTTGACGGGCCTTGTATCATGTTAATTACGTCTTCCAGGGGTTGGATAGAGTTTTGTAAGCATTTGGGGTTCATAAGGGCTGTAGAGAGTGTCGTTTACAGGGATGTAAGGGTTTCTGAGTTAAGGGTTTAACGCGGGTGGTTCCAACATTGATCGTTTGTTGGGCACTCCTGATGGCTAGGGTGCCATGCACTGTTGGGTATCGAAAAAATTTCAGGGCTTCCCCCAGTTAGAAAACCTCATTGGCATCCCCAAACATGCAGAAAATTCGCCCAGAATAGGGGGGACCGGAGCCTCCAACCTAGGGCTCAAAGCTTCTCTGAAGCTACGGGTTCTGCTCTCTGCAGGGCTCGAGTGTGGGGTTGCGGGCGTACAGCTCTGGACGTTTGTCAGGGTTTAGGGTTCAAGGTAGAGGGTGTAGCTCTTGTAGGGTTCTAGGGTTTAGGGTTCAGGGTTTTAAGATTTTTAGGGTTTAGGTTTATAGGGCTTATAAGGGTTTAAGGGTCCCGTCACACGCCTGGGCCTCAGTACGGGTTTAACAGAGGGTTTTGGGTTTAGGATTTCCGTATTTGGAACTAACTTACGATTATGGCATTATGGTTTGTGGCGACATCCCCAACACAGGTAGCAGGGTCCTTCGGAAAGTGGTTTTGACTCCTTGCACCTGATGATAGCAAGTTCTCATAGTCTGATACGCCTTGGAATTAGAAGATGTATTTACCGAGATATGCAGCAAGTGATTACAATGCAAGGCTGAAGGTTACGAATGGCGCTCTTGGCGAAGCAAGGTTTAGGGACTGAGGATGTGATATTGAAGGTTTGAGGATCAAAGCGAAGCCGTAGTTGTACTGTGCAGGCACTTAGCATCCTTTTGGCTCCGTGTGTGGCATACATTCTACGCACAAGAGAAGGCACTATTGCAATACCAGGTCTGATCTCTAAAGCCCAGAGGCGTGTATAAGTGTGTACATATGCAAGCTAGGTTACTATCATGTACTACACGATGGGTATGTACATATGTGTACTACTAAGGTGACAACGCCATACCGTACTTTTACTACGGGGGGTGTTGGGTTTATAGGGTTCAGGAAAAACGGCTTCGAGCTTCAAGAGGCACTTCAACCGACTGCCCCTCCTTCATCGCCCTTTCCGGCTCAGGCAGTGTCGACGTAGGAATAAGCCGTCTGCATCCTCCCCGCGCCATAAGGCGGAAATCCTAAACCCTAAAATTCCCAACTGGAGCCTCAGGAGCTGTGTTCCCCTTCTAAAACCCAGTAGTTTTAATCGTAGTAGTACTAGTTAACAGTCATTGTAACATGAATGAGGGCAAGTGGCCGATCTTTTTGTTTGGTTCTGGGGCAGTTCCGACATGGTGGAGATTGGAGATCTATAGGCTTTGGGGTCCGTGGTGGAGGCTTGTTGCTTCCGTCATATGCTCTTTGGTGTAGGGTTTAGGGTTATCAGAGTATCAGCCCTAAACCCTAAACCCTAAACCCTAAACCCTAAACCCTAAACCCTAAACCTTAACCGTTGCCGGACGGGGAGGGTCCTTCAACCCTAAACACAGCACACCCCTCCGCAGGACAACTGGGCCGAGGTCCACAGCTTGTAAGGTCGATCAGCTTCGAGTGTACTATGGGGGCCTAAATCATTACCAATACAACCAATACTATCTTGGGGGTTCCTTACTGTAGTTATGGTATAATATACCCCAAGTTCCTTACTATAGTCATAGTATAATATATCCCAAGTTCCGTGCTATAGTTGTAGTACAATATGCCCCCCAAACCCTAGTCTAACTATTAAGGCCCCTAAACCCTAAACCCTTGTAGTAGCCCTATTATTGAACCATTTAAGGAACCCTTAAAAGGAACCCCGAAACCCTAAACCCTAACCCCTAAACCCCTAACCCCTATACCGCTAAACCCCTAAACCCTAAACCCCTAAACTCTAAACCCCAAAACCGTAGTCTAATTATTAAGGCCCCTAGAGTAGGCATGCGCTTGCCTGTATGACCTGTGCGTCGCTCCCTCCGCACCCATGGCCTGGTCGAGTCCTCGGTTTAGGATTTAGGGTTTAGGATTC